TGCAGCATGTTATATGTACCCCGTTGACAACCTCGTACACCTATCCTCGAGCTATGAACAGTCGTGAAGCCTTCCAGCAGTATGGATTTGAAAAGTTATTTGGGGTAGCCTAGAGGTTAAAGCGTTCGATCGTCCAGTGAACACGCGGGTTCGATTCGTCACATGGGTACAACTGCTAAAACTGACGTAAGTCTAAGCTCACTCACTGAAAAATTATGCCATAGTTAAACACAGATACCCACGAAAGAGTAGGCTGTACAAAACATCAGTGATGAGTGGTGGGTACGTGTATCTGTGACTCGGTCAGGAATAAAGAGGATTCACACCTGAACATAATTCCGCAACACCCAATCCTGCTACATGTGTTTGTTACTATCTGAATATCTAGTTTCCATGAATAATATGTTCCGGTGGGTGGTGAGAGTTTCACATTACTCTGTGGATGGGAACAAGATGTGGGGGCTTTTGTGCAGTATTAGCTTTCTACAGTTAAACCTGAACACCCGTACATAAACCATGTTAACGTGAAGCTGGTTATTACAAAGTAGTGTCTGTTTTATAGTTGTGAAGTACTTTTAAATGTAAAGTTGGTTAGAACAAAGTAATGTTGGTTACAGCAATGTGAAGCTTGGTTACAAAAATGTGAAGTTGGTTAAAACAAAGTTATGTTGGTCGCAATAATGGAAAGTTGGTTAAAGCAAAGTAATGTTGGTTACAACAATGTGAAGCTGGTTGGAAGAAAGTAGTGTCTGTTTCATAGTTGTGAAAGTTAGTTACAACAATTTGAAGTGTTACAATATTGGGAAGTTGGTTAAAGCAAAGTAATGTTGGTTACAACAATGGGAAGTTGGTTGAGAAAAGTAATGTTGGTTGTAATAATGTGAAGTTGGTTAAAGCAAAGTAATTTTGTTGGTTAAAGCAAAGTAATTTTGTTACAACAAACAATGTGAAGTTGGTTACAACAATGTGGAATTGGTTAGAACAAAGTAGTGTCTTTTTCATAGTTGTGAAGTACTTTTAAATGTAAAGTTGGTTAGAACAAAGTATTGTTGGTTACAACAATGTGAAGTTGGTTACAACAATGGGAAGTTGGTTACAACAATGGGAAGTTGGTTGAGAAAAGTAATGTTGGTAATAACAATGTGAAGTTGGTTAAAGCAAAGTAATTGTGTTACAACAATGTGAAGTTGGTTAGAACAAAGTAATGTTGGTTACAACAATGTGAAGTTGGTGAGAGCAATAGGAAGTTGGTTACAACAATGTCGAGTTGGTTAATAATAATAAGTACATTTCTAAAGCGCTAAATTCCACGCCGGGGAATGCTCATAGCGCATACAGAGAGTTCTAGTTGCAGTCATATGATACTGAAAAATGTGAGCCTTGAGGTGAGATCTAAATACAGTCAGAGTTTGACATGTTCGCAGATGGTCGGGCAATTCGTTCCATTTCTTGGCCGCTGCCACCTTGAAAGAACGGAAACCATATGATTTCAGCTGCCAACGAGGAACATGCAGTAGGTCTCTGCGACTGGAGCGAGGTGGTCTACCGGGGATATACGACCTGAAGAGTTCCTGGAGGTACACTGGAGCTATTCTGTGAACACACTGGTATGTCAGAGACAGTATCTTGAAGTCAACGCTCGCTCGGATTGGTAACCAATGTAGTCGTTTCAGGACAGGAGTAATACTTGCAAATTTAGGGGGTTTGGTGACAATGCGTGCTGCAGTATTCTGAATTCTCTAATGAGTTCCTTTGAGATATGGAGCAGAAGGCTGCTGCAGTAATCAATGCGGGAAAGTATCAGAGATCGAACAAGTGCTGCAGTAGAATCCTCAGTCAGAAGATGGCGGATACTGCCAATGGTTCAGATGTGCTAGTAATAAGATTGAACTCTGAGACTTGCTTCTCCATCGACAGATCACATTCAAAGTAGACACCAAGATCTTTGACTGTTGATGAGAGGGGAATGGATGTGTCACCAATGTGAAGAGAAACAGTATTGATCTTCGACAAGCGGGAGGCTGGGCCGACTAATTCACCTCTGTCTTGTCCTCATTTAGCTTGAGGAGATTGGTGTTCATCCAAGCATTGACAGATGCACGGCAGTTCTCCATGTCCGTCATTGGAGAGATGGTGTTCAACTTGAAGCTATCAGTCATCTGAGTGTCATTTTATATAGATATTGTAGGACATTGTGGCTCTGGATTACCTCCTCCAACTGCTTGGTGTACGTGGTAAACAACAGAGGTCCCAAAACAGAATCTTGAGGGACACCGTAGTCCACGGAGACTGTAGATGAGTGCGAGTTCTTGATCACAACCGTTTGTTGTTGCCCTGATACATATGAAAGAAATCTTGACAAAACCTTGACACTGATTCCGTAGTCAATATTCAGCCTTTTCATCAGCTTACCATGGTCAACCGTATCGAAAGCTGACGAGAGAACCAGGAGAACTAACACAGCAACTTGTCCAGCATCCACAGCCTGTTGGAGGTCATTTAGTACTCTGAGTAGAGCAGTCTCCGTGCTATGGGCTTTCCTATGTGCGGACTGGAACTTGGTCATGAGATTGTGTTCTTCTAAGTGATGCAAAAGTTGCTTGTTCACTGCCTTTTCGAGTATCTTTGACAAAAAAGACAGATTAGAAACAGGCTGGTAGTGTTTCATTATGTTTTTGTCCAAGTCGGATTGTTTTAATAAGTGGTTTGACAGATGCGTCCTTAACTCATTAAGGCCGAGAGACGCATATATGGGGCAAATTAATCAGCTCCTCACAGCGAGTGACGTGTTTATGGGGCAGGTTATTAGCAGTTTCTCACAGCGAGAGCCACATACAGTCGTCAACAGAAAGCACCTCTTATTCAGCGAGAGACGCACATGTGTGTTTTACTTTTAAAAATCGCACTGTACCTATTATTTCAACCAATTTTGCAGTACTGAGCAAATGTTAGCTTTTCTTACGAGAGATTCCACCTTTAGTATCAATCAGAAGAAGTATTTAAAGTGTTTTGATAACAATTGCTAATCATTATCATAGGCTTGTACAGCGTTTAGCAAATGAACGCATGTCGGCGAGAAAGGGGATTATGATGTTTTACAGAGGTAAGTGCCTGGTACTCTTCCTTGGGAATGGATACTAAAATACTTCGTATGCACATTGATTGCTGTATTTAAGCTATTTTAAACATTGAGTGGATTGCACACTCAGCTTAAACATAATTAACAATTTTTATAGCACTTTTATGCTTTTCAGAATATGTTTCACTGATGTTAAAAATCCAGTCGAGAGGCAGACGCCATTTTGTTTGCATGTCATATAGTCGGTAGCGATCTTTAACATAAAATAAAATGATATTTTGTACATTTAACATGGCGGTAAGATAAATACGTTGTATGCTTCTCCCTCGGGTAATACGGTCTGATGTACGCCTCTTTGTAGCAGTGTCATCCCTCGCCTACCGGCTCGGGTGACACTGCTACAAAGAGGCGTACATCAGACCGTATTACCCTCGAGAGAAGCATACAACTTATAATGTGATAATTATAATGATAATGTTATAATGTTATAATTCTCTTTATAAGAACGTAACATTGTTACAACATGAAGTAGGTAATTACAAAGATCTGTTCCCATTCCAACATGAAATCAGTTATTTCTAAATGCTACTGGGTATGGCATCATGAAGTGAGTTGTCAGCCTCTGTATTTCATATATAACGATTCCAGTAACAGAACGTATTCGGTTATAACGAAGAGTCACTGTGATGTCACTGTAATTATGTTCAAAATTTTAAAGTGGTTCCTCAAAGTACCCTTCAGCATTCCACTCAGCTCATGTTCAACTATCCGTGGAAATCCGGGATAGGATTGGTCTTCAGCAACCAAGAGGCGACTAACGGTACCGGGTGGTCAGACTTTGGTGACACATGTCATCGTATCCCAATTGTGTAGATTGATGCTCATGTTATTGATCACAGGATTGTCTGGTCCAGATTTGATTATTGACAGACCACCGCGACATAGCTGGAATGTTCCCGAATACGGCGTTAAACAACAAACAAACAAAAGCTCGTGTTCAGCAGCTTGTTCACACGCTGTTGAAGGTTTTCATCAGCCGAGAATAGATGAAGGAGGCCTTTTCATCTACATTCTGTGAAAAGACTAATTAGAAACAAACCAGAGCGTCTTTTGATGCTGTTACACAATTCAAGAGCAGATATCTGCATCCTCTGGAACACATGTGAGACTTTAAGGACACCTCAAGATGGCTGCATAGCAAGGTTTGTATACACTGTTGTAATATGAAAGTACTTGTAGTTATAGGCTTACATGTGTGATGAAGGGTAATGTATGACTCAAGACTAACCTTTTCCTATAAGACCCGGTTAGAATTGGTCTTCAGCAACCAATACTTGTCGTAAAAGGCGACTAACAGGATCGGGTGGTCAGGCTCGCTGACCTGGCTGACACATGTCATCGGTTCCCATTTGCGCAGATCGATGCTCATGTTGTTGATCACTGGATTGTCTGGTCCTGACTCGGTTATTTACAAACCGCCGTCATATAGCTGGAATATTGCTGAGTTTGGCGTTAAACAACAAACCTATTGTGACAGTATTACCTAAATTGATTATCACCGAGCCGTATCTGTCATGAAGGACATCTATAAGAAACATATACAGAACCGGTTTGGACACGAAAGATCCTCCTTGCAAACAGACATGCGTAGCCGCAGATATCTCTCGGGCAAACAAGCATACCCTATAGACAAAGACACCAACAAATCGGTGAGGGTGGTAGACGCACACCTCCGAGGTAAAATATACTTCTGCAAGAACAATAGCTGCGCTGTTACTCTGGTGGGAGAACTCGTGTGGGGGCAGACACGTGATCTCAAGCTGCAACACATTCGTCACCACTCGCCCCTTTCCGTAAACTCCAAGAAGCTATTCGACTTGTCCCGGAATAACACGAGTGGGTCACGAATGACTCTGGTGAGAGAGCTCCGGTGGGGACAGACACGTGATCTCCAGCTGCAACACACCTGGGAACTAAACAGGTTTGCACTCCCAAGAGCGCTTGCACCCATCACCGCACTACTTTCTGCAGCCGCTAGGGGGTGAAAGACCGGGTGTCATTCTCACCCTAGAGGCAACTGCATTTGGATTGGATATATGCTTTGCGGTCGTGGCTGATGGATTTATACGAAGGAGGAAAAGGTAGGCATTGCTTATTTCATCAACTCCTGTTTGTCTCGACAGGGTTTTCCTATTCAACTTTTGTTTATAGTCAGAATAATGTTGACTGTGTTTTCAAACAACGCACTGATGCCAATTATGGTCTTGCTTTGTGTTTTGTTACTCGACGCAATTTTTTGAATGAGATGGTTGTTTACAGATATACGTTGCATGCTGGATGGTATTCATACTGGCGCCTTAATGGTTTGTTATTATTAATCATTTTCACTATTTGTTTCTATTTATATGTATTTGTACTCAAAGAAACTGCACAGTTTTGATGTCATACCTGCACACAAACACATCTTGCACAGAACTATTTTAAGTAGGAATGTGCTTTGTATTGTGTAGTAAAACCTTGTAAGCTTTTTACCCACATAACAGGCCCTGTGGATATCCACATATATTATATTCGGTTCAAGTCATGCTATTCATGCGTTCAGATTTAATCTGCGTGCATTATGCATACATATACTTTTTATACGGTCTGTGAATAACAAGCGTGTTTCAAATTGCTCTGTGGAGAAACAGAATCGCTGAGGTGATGTACGTCATCTGTTTGATAAAGTCACGCGAAAGTTCTGTGCCTTCAAGCGGAAAATGCATTTCTCTAAGCCACATTTTTTAATCTGTCTCATAGACATTTGCAAGATTTGTAACGCGCTCGTGTCTCATTGAAGTGACCTTCTGCATTACAGACGTGAAATAGACAACATAGTTGCTTTTCAAAGTGACGTTTGGGTGTGCGCGCATGTGTCTGTGTATGTGGAGTGGCTGTGTGTGTCTGAACGTGTCAGGGTGTGTGCGTGCGAATATGTGGTTGCTTGTCCAAGTTTAGACCGTTTCACAGTCCCTGAACTGCTTTATTTTCCCTTTCTGCAATGCTAAAGCCCCAAATGAAGCAAGTGTAGATTTCCTCAGGTTCTGAATCTCCCTTTACATTGGTACTATGTTCAGTTTAAAAGAAGTTGTTAGTTTCTATCAAAATTATACACATTCAGCGAGCAATCATTAGTCTAGTACCAATCATGTGTGCGTAAGTGAGTGAGTGAGTGAGTGAATGATTGAGCGAGTGAGTTGAGTGAGTGAGTGAGTTTAGTTTTACGTCGCACTCAGCAATATTCCAACTATATGGCGACGATCTGTAAATAATCCAGTCTTGACCAGACAATCAAGTGATAAACATCATGAGCATCGATCTACGCAATTCGGACACGATAACACGTGTCAACCAAGTCAGCGAGCCTGACCACCCGATCCTGTTAGTCGCCTCTTATGACAAGCATGGGTTACTGAAGATCAATTCTAACACGGATCTTCACGGGTCAGTCATGTATGATGTCACTGGGCCAGGGAGGTGGACATTACACATGTCAGGAGTACTAGGTTGCATCACGATGGCGTGTTCCATGAGCCCGGGTATAATACTGACAAAGAATCATATTAAGGATTGGAATCCACGACCATTCTGGCCCTAAGAGACGCAACTAAGCAGAGTTGATGACGTTTTTTGGGCGGCTGGCCTTCCCGTTTGAAGTATTCCCTCTATTAATACGAGCTTTTTATTTAGCATGACCTATGGTCATTTTCAAAACATGTTGAAGCTGAGAACGAATATGCCACTTTTCTTTCTTATCTGTACAACAGCTGAACATATGATACCAATGTTGATTAACATATTTCTAACACCAAATATTTATGCGCAGACATAAAGGTAAATATAGCTGAACAGATTATGTTAAAGGAATACGTTCACAGGGGACCTGTCATTGTTTGTACAGTACCCGCTATTGTCAGTCTAACACTGACACAGATAACACAGTAGAGATTTGATTCTTTGGTAAACTTCCCTTCGTAAACTGTCCTGGGCCCCGTTTCACAAAGCGATATCAGCGCCAACTCCCAACGTTAAACATAGGCGATCTCCGTAGCGTTCAGATCGCTTTGTAGAACATCGTGAGTTAGTGAGTATTGTTCAACGCCGCATCAGCAGTTTTGCAGCTATTCGCGGCAATGTGGAACAGGGACCCTGTTCCCTAGGAAACCTGAGTCGCTTCTTTCCACTCAACCCACTTCTGCATCTGGAGGGCGGCGGGGTGGCTCAGTTATAAAAGCGTTCGCTCGTCACGCCGACGACCCGGGTTCAATTCCCCACATGCATATGGGTACAAAGTGTGAAGCCCTGCTGCGACGTAAATTGTAATAAAAACGTAAATTGTAATAAAAAACGTAAATTGTAATAAAAACGTAAATTGTAATACTTGCAGCTAATTGTAATAAACTTGACGTAAATTGTAATAAATAGGTAAATTGTAATAAAAATAGACGTAAATTGTAATACGCAAATTGTAATAAAAATTGACGTAAATTGTAATAATTTTCGTTGCGGTAAATTGTAATAAATATTTACGTAAATTGTAATAACAGTTTTAATCACTCGTAAATACGCGTGTGTTTGTTTTTCGTTGCATTTCATACATCATACAAGCTTGTTAGGGCGATAACTCAAGAAAGAAATGATGGATTTTGTTCAAATTTGGTACCAAGGTATATTGGCGAGATTCACCGACACAAGTGAAATTGAATGACCTTGAGATAATTTGCAAGGTCACAGCAAAATTCCGAGGGTGTTGCCGATATAAAGAGTGTTAGCGCGATAACCCAATAAGAATTGACAAATCTTAGCTAAATGACGAAAATGATATTCGTGCTGATATATAATCGATATAAAATCTCTAACTGTCCTCTGTATCCTGTCTTTTCGCAAATATCTGTTGAGGTTTTGATATGTATACATATAAAGTGGGGGTGGGTGGGGTGGGTTTCTAACGGGTATATCTAACACACTTACATGCATGTAGAGTCGGAGGGGTGGGTGGGGGTTCTAACGGGTATATCTACGAGGGACGTTCAAAAGTAGTCAGCCTCACCTAGATTGACACAAATGCAGCTGTTTTTATGATTTATTTTTCTACATATTATCTGTCAGTCTCAAGCAAATTGGTTTTGCTATGTTGCAGCCTCACGATCCCCATTTTGTGTGACTTTGTATCTTGGCTTGGTACTCCCCAAAACACGTAAAATCTGCAATAAAGTGCATCACAAACTTCAGGAAACAAAATATGTTTAAGATTGGTAGAAGTCGGCTAGAATCAAACTTAGATATTAAACTGCACAAGAAAGCAATTTGAAACTACAATCGCTTGTTCAAATGACTCCCACCTTCTGTTTACTGAAAGAACTCGAGAAAGAAATGATGAAGTTAGTGACCTTTAGGTCATTTTAAAGGTCACAGCGAAGGTGTAACAGTTTTGCATATGCCAAGCTTGGTAGCCGCGAACTCAGGAAAGAATTAATAGATTTTGATCCAATTTTATATAAAGGTGTATTGTCGGGATTCCCCCAACACCAATTGATTGGGGAACTTGTGCTCATTTTAAGTTCACAGTGAAAATTGTTTTGCACATGTCTAATACAAGACAGAATTAATATATTTTGCTTAAATACAGTACCAAGATCTGTTGGGAGTATGGTCTAACGCCAGTCGATTTCAGTGACCTTCGGATTATTTTCAAGGTCACAGCGAGTATTCTTGCGACATCTCCAAACCTAATGGATGGAATTTGTTCGCATTTTGTATCAAGGCATCAGATGACAGTTTCGGTAACGTTTACATAATTTCCAGGGTCAGGCAGAGGATTATTGCGATATTCAGATATCGACATGTGGCGGGGGTAATAGCTATGTTTGTGACAAACGCTTTCTCATTACTAATTTTCAAATGTTTGTTAGCAAATGGTTTCTATAATTTCATGTTAATTCTACCAGCTGTGAAATTATTCATGACACGTCTTAAAAAAGCCAGAGATTATTTGTGTATGTTTCGAATATTAAAGTTTATTGTTTTGACGCAAAGACATATTTTACGAGCAACAGCTTTCAATAATTTAATGTTATTTCTATTACATTTTATTCTTCATAGCATATCCCAAAATAGCAGGATATTGTTTGTTTACGCGTTGAAATGTACGTCTATTCTTCTTTTAATTTTCGAATTATTTTCAATGTTGACGCAATGACATATTTGAAGTTAATTTTATGTTTTGATCATATGTGATTTATTATGATTTATGTTTCGATCATATGATTTATTATGATTTATTGTTTTGTCATGCATTCATATAACTTTGTCATAGTTTAACTTGGTTCGTATTATTTTCTTCATCATATTACTACATATTATTGTATTTTTATGAGAGGGAATTTTATGTTACATTTGCTAAGGATATCATGAATCGCTGGCGCCTGGTTATTCCTTGCCACATAGCAGTCAATCTGTCTACTCATTTGTTGTATTTGATTGATGCATTTAAAATAAATGTAGAAATGCTATTTAATTTTATCATTTGCTTCAAGGAATCGATCATATGTGCTCGTTATCAAGGTAAAGTCAAAAGGTATACAATGTAAGTTGACACCTCAATTGTTATGGGTAGACTAAAGAAATCATTTATTTAGTTTCACCGCTCAAAATACAACAAAGAAATCAACGGGTGGCATTAACCTCAAAGAATGATCATAACAATGCTTATAACCTACGAGGGCAAACATATCGGGGATAATTTGTTTTCGTGCGATATGCACCGGGTAAAATATCACTTTGTCATGGTGACATGACATCATGAACAATGTTATGACGTCACGTTGCTTCTAAGAAGCCGCCTTCTAAATACAACGATGACGGGGAGCCTGCCCTTGTTGGAAAGTAGATTATCGCGTAATTTCCTCAATTAAAGACTTCGGTACTAAATAGAAAATTATATTCGTGACCATATCATGCTATGTTAACGATCTAAATATCGGCATATCCATTCTCTGGTTCCGAAAATACCAAGATTGAGGCAGTTGTGTTGTAAACTCATATTTATCTTCTATAAAGTCGGGCTATATTCAAACCATGAGAAATGTCGTCAGATAATGTT